AAAACATTAGACTGCCCAGCATACCGTCTCTGCATACTTTCCTTTCCAACCTATTAAAAAGATTTTGCAACAGACACTTCAGCTTTTCTGATGCGGTGTTGGAGATTTGAATTCAACCACAACCCTTGTAAAATATGCTCCTGAACATAAACAGAATGCTGAAAGAATACTGAATAATCATATAGAAGAATGTCCCATTAAAAATGCTCATAATTTGGTAATCTGGGATGTAAATATCAACTTTGCCCAGTTATTCATGGATGCTAGCAGATGTTCTACCAACATCTTGAGGAGAGAGAAGCACAAATATAGGCAGGGAGGGAGTTTTCTCTTAAGTACAGGGCAAGGTAACCACTGTAACAAAGGCTAGGTAAGAAACAGACACGGGGCCAAGGCATGAAGACTTTTCCCTTCACTGATATTTTGCCATTTGACCCCATAATCAAATAGGCCCCCAAGTGCTAAGAGATGTTGCCTATTTGCCCTTTAGAGCAGGGGTGTCACACTGCTGGCCCACGGGCCGGATGCGTCATCCAGAAGCCGTGCCCACCCCATTGCCGGCAATGGCAAAACCAGCCCGATATGTTTCGCGATGTCACGTGACATCGCGAGTTTGACATGTCAGCTTTAGAGGGAATCATCAAGCTGAAACACTTCCCTGAGAAGTGAAGACTTTTCAGTAGTTGGAATCCCTTATTCTCCTCACTAGAAAGGGTTCTAAGAAGCTCTGTATTAGGGTTGGCCTTGGCCTAAACATCCATACAGTTTGCAGGTCCTTGACCAGTTCTGTATGCAGACCAAACCTTGATGATGTTACCTAGTTTAGTTAATGAAACATCTGCAAGAAAACAACCAAGCTCAGAGAGCAGTAAGAACCCCTTAGACCAGGGGTGTCAAACTCGCAACATCACGGGACGTGTCACGACATATTGCAACTTTTTTCCCATTGCCGGCAATAGGGTGGGCATGGTTTTGCCATGACGCATCTGGCCCACAGGCCAGCAGTTTAACACCCCTGCCTTAGACCAAGCCTTCCCATTAGTCCAAGCACTACCTACCCCAGTTTCTCAACCTCAGCAACTTTAAGATGGGTGGATAGGCCCAGAGTATCCCAGCCAACATGCTGGGAGCTGCTTGAACTCTGGGAATTCAAGTCCACACATCTTAAGGTTGCTGAAGTTGAGAAATACTATACTATACTGAAAATGACATACTGTATACCCAGATTTTATTTATTATTTATATCTTATATACACATGCATACATTAGGTGACAAGAAAAAAAGAGACCAATCAAAACTGTGGGGATTTTTTTTTCTTTACAGCATATTTAAGCATGTAAAACTAGATATATGTTAGAGGTATGATCCTATGATTCTATACCTTATTATTTGTACCATATAGTTTTAACACTTTTTTATTTATTAACTACTGCTTACAATGCAGTCCATGTTCAGTGACTAAGCCCAGTGGCACTTATTTCCGGGCAAATGTATACTTTTCCTCAGAAAAGACTGTAAAAAACAAGAAACATTGCTTTTTAACTTGGTTAAAGCTGGCCAACACTTAAAGCTTGAAGTGAGTTTAAGGATATGTGTCACCAAAAGAACAAATTTATGGGTGTACCTTCAAGAATCTATAATATTGAAGCCCAAAAAAACTTATCTATGTGATGTCAATGCAAAAACATTTTTTAAGGATGCTAGTGGAAAATGTTTGGAAACGCTTTGGGATCCAGTGTAATGCTGTGGCCTCACCTTGTTCAGTTTACCACTGGCGGAATAAATGTTTGCAGTTTTTTGGTTAGTAAAACTCCCTTGACATTCAAGCAATAAACTATGTCTTGTGTTCCTCATTGTCATACATGACCAGAGAGGTGTATATATTTGGCCCTTCGGGGAATGTCCCTTGTGTTCAATACCCCATGAGCAGAAGATCCAAGCTCTGGTTAAATATTGTGCCAGCAAATCTTATTTATTCTTGTTTCTATTTACTCTAAGTAAAGACTATAAGTCTGCATGGCAGAAAAGAAGACAAATAACACAGAGCATTTGTGGTTAGTTTGAATCTTTCCTTCTGTTTTATCTCTCTCTCCTTTTTCTCAGTGGTCAGCTTAGGGAGGGGAGTTGTTGCTGTTTCTTTCTGGTATATTTAGTGGAAATTAAGCACTTTTACCAATGTAGAAGCTCCTTTATTTTGATCAAAATATGCTTTCACTCCAAAACCTCATACCGACCCTTTTTTCAGTCTTGACACTATATAGTAGAATATATTGTAATAGGTAATTAATCTGTTTTAAAAGTGATCAAATACAAATAGAGGCTGTTCTTTTGAAACTAGATGGCTATGTCTAATGTTATTCTAAGTTCTATTTTGTTTGGAAGAAAGAGCCAAAAGAGGAAATATCATTGCTCTGTATATTTTCTTAACTAGATAAATAACTTCTGAATTCAAGCAAGTATAAAGGAGCTATGTGAGCAGTATGTGTGTGCGTTTGTGCATGTGTGCGTGCATGCATGTGTGCAAATGTGTGTGTGTGTTTGTGCATGTGTGCGTGCATGCATGTGTGCAAATGTGCATGTGTGTGTGTGTTGCTTCAAAGATTTTTTTTTTTAAAAAAAGTCATTTTCCAATAATTACAGTAATGGACAAATTTATCATTATAATAGATAGGATGGTTCACAAAGTCAAGAATTAATAGTTTCCCCAGAGCTGTGGTTTCTGTCCTATAAATTGCAGGTCTAAGCTTTCTGCTAAAACATGCAAGTTTTAGCAGAGTTATAGAACAACATTGGGAATAGATACCAGAAACAAGACTACATCGTCATATTAGAGTCTCCTGACTAACAGTTTTGAGGCTGTTGTGTCATCTGCTAATTCATTGAAAATGCTACAGTCTAACCAACATCTGAAACCAGAATAGGTCTCCAGAGCCTGTTTTTCCACATGAGAAATCCCTCATTTTTGAGCAAACACGCTTCTTTCTCAAAAAGCAAGGTAAGTCTCATCTTTTCATTGCAAAAGCATGTTATGTGAGCTGCTGTAGCATGGTAGCAAAGAGGCTGAGTTAGAAAGAACGAAATTCAGTTCAAGTATCACCAGTGCCAGGAACTCATTAAATGACCTTAAGCAATCTCTCTTTCTCACTCTCTATTTCAAGCCCCTCTCCCATGTATCACACTAATTTGTCTTTATAACCATTCAGATGGATTATAGCTAGTTAGTACTGGGAAAGTGCTTTGAATTTTGGAAAGTATGAACGAAATGTTGGCTTATGAAAACTCAACGTCACAAAAAATGTCACATCTATGTACCCAGGGTTCATGAGATAACAGAAATATCTTTCACAATTAAATGATCTAGTGGATAGAAGTCATATTATCTATCTATTTATTACATCATAAACTATCATACTTTTTGTTTACTATGGTTTGTGTTCAGCCTTTCTGTTGAAAGACATGTTCAGTGGTATATGTTCTCATTTTCAGACTGAAAAATTAAGGTACATTGACCTCGTCTATCAGTAGCTATCATGTTATTTGGTATCTTGAGTCAGTTTGACAGAGTAAGGCAGACACATACACTCCTTTTTCAAATAACTTTATTAAGTCTTACATTTATACAAAACAGAAAGTAATGCACACTGCAGAAAGTAAAGAAATATAAAGAAAAAAATAGTTTAATACAAATAAAAAGAAAGACAAGAAAAATAATATAAAAGGAAGAATAAAGAAAAGATAAGAATATAACAAAAAAGAAAAATATATAAAGAAGTAGTTTCCTTCTTTGTCTCAAAAACAAATAAATAATTTTAACAACCCATCACTTTCTTTTCAAATATAACAATCTTTTCATTCTGAATCACATCAGCAGACAAATTCTTAATGCCATGTCATTCAGTCCTAGTCAGCAAACGTCCATTAAGGGTTACCAGAAAAATATCATATATTTTAATTTTGATCAAATTAAGCAACTTTATATTCTTTCCCTTTATTTTTAACCTTTAATCCCTCCAAATAATATTCTCAAACTTGATTTTTTTTTTTCTTCCTTCTCACCATCTTACAAAATTTTAACAGGTCTCTTGTAAATTCAATATAGGAAAAATATCCAAGTCACTCTCCTGCTTGGTAGATTGTATGTCCTTTTAATTATTAAAACATCAGGCAGTTTCATTTGTATATCCAATATTTCATCTTTTTCCAGATCATTCTTGGGGCTTATCATTATTAAATCCACATTCAAATCTATTTCAGTCTTATCCACTATAACTTGTTCCTCGTCCATACCATCATTCACAGCGATGTTAAGGTATTTTGTTCCATTCTTGTTAACAAGTCAAATAGGTGTTTTTTTCTCCTTTAATTGTAATGTTTATTTCTTTTTACCTCCCACTGGTGAAAAACCTTCAAAGTCCCATCCTATCATGTTGCAGGGGATTGTGGGGAGATTTTTTTGGAATTTCAAAACATAAATCATTTTCCTGTGGGAAAGATTCATTCAATTAATTTGAAAATCCTGTTTCAGGTCAATCTAGACTCTTAGTCCATTTATACTACAAAAACGTCATAATAACCTTTTGATGTGTATTCCCCAAAATTGCTAAGTCCTTAAAATAGCACTTTAAATTTCTTTCATGAAGGATTGAAGAAAACTTATCCAGCGAATGCCATCAAACTTGCTATTCCAAAAATTATTAATATTTAAAAAGCAGTAAAAAGTTAATTCAAAATTGATTATGAGGCTCAGCCACACTTTATGTTCATATACAGTAAGATATATTGTGGACATAGATGAAATCCCTCGAATCCCAACCACTCCACTCACCGGCTGACTGCAGAAATCTCAGTTCTTACAGTCTACTCACAATGAACACCTGGCTGGAGTACATGTGAGCAATTCCACAATCTCTCCTTTCTCCAGAGAGATTTTACCAGCCAGGATCTATCCTCTAACCTATGGCTGGCAATCTCAGATGCAATTCTTTCCACATTCCTTCAGGGACGTCTAGGTCACCATACCCTCACCAGAAATCCACAAACACACAGTCCTCATGAGCTGCTGATTGTGGATGTCCCAAAAGAGCAGGAAATGATTGTTGACTTATTTTTATTTTCCTCCAGCACAGGAAAGTATGTTGTACTAAATGACATCAGGCAGTGGCCAGTCATCTCAGTGCTGCCCACATTAGAAGCGTGGCAATTTGGTTTTCCTATTGTCTGTCCCACGTGAGGTCAGTGGGAGTTGATTCCAAACTCCTGGAGGTGCCACTTTGCATATTCTTGCTCCATATTAACAGATGAAACTTCAAACAGAATTTCTTCCTGGACTTGCTTAAACTACCATGGGTTCATCTGGATACCTCTTACATGCAAATTGCTTTACTGTTGGGTAGCAAATTTTTCCCATCATGATTCTGTAATCTTAAACAACACCATATTTATGTAAGCTGCAAGTAGTACTTATTTCTTTGGAAAACATGTCTCTATTCTTACATCTCAGGTAAATTTATTTATTTATTACATTTCTACACCACCCATCTCACCTAACTGATGCTGGGGAGTTTACAACAGGGAAACCATGGAATTAGAATACATAGGCAAATTGGACTGAGAACAGCATCAGGGCAGAGGCAACAGATGTAATCAATGTAAACAGAACTTCATTTTTAAGCAGGTCTCGCTTGTAATATATTGTGAAAACTGAAGGAATTTCATTTTAAATCAATTAACAGATTGCAGACTCTGGAAAGAGATGAAGATGGAAACTGCACTCTGGTGGCAGAATTCATTCTCTTGGGGTTCTCAGAATCTCCAGAGCAGGACCCTCCATTGTTTGCTGTCTTTCTCATGATCTACATCACCACCCTGATGGGGAATCTGGGAATGATTATATTAATCAGGATCAGCGCTCAGCTTCATACCCCCATGTACTTTTTCCTATGCAGTTTGTCTGCGGCTGGCATCTGTTATTCCTCAGTTATCACCCCTTGGATGCTAACGAGTTTTCTAACAGGTTACAAATCAATTTCCTTTGGTGCATGCTTTGCTCAGCTCTACTTTTTTGCGGCCTTGGTGTGCACGGAATGTTTCCTGCTGGCCACAATGGCCTATGATCGTTATATAGCCATCTGTAATCCCTTGCTCTATTCTACAATTATGTCACAAAACATCTGTGCCACATTGGTTGCTGGTTCGGGTTTCCTCGGCTTGACAAATGCCATGCTAACAGTACACTTTTTAAGCAGTTTACATTTCTGCGACTCTAACATCATCAGGCATTTCTTCTGTGACACTCCTCCCCTAATAGCACTTGCCTCAGATCACCGTGCCATTGAAATGATCATATCACTTATGGCTGGGTATACCATCCTTGCATCCTTGGTCATCAGTCTCCTATCTTATACCTTAATTCTGTCCGCCATCCTGAAGATCCGTTCTGCTCAAGGCAGGCGTAAGGCCTTTTCTACTTGCACATCTCACCTGACGGCAGTCTCAGTCTTCTATGGGACTCTGATATTTACCTACCTTCGCCCAAATACCAGCTACTCATTGGGCCAAGATCAAGTGGCCTCTGTCTTCTACACAGTGGTGGTGCCTATGTTGAACCCTATGATCTACTCTCTCAGAAACAAAGAGGTGAAAGAGGCTTTCAAGAAATCAGTTGGAATGAAATGGGTTTGGGGATAAATGTATAACTACTTCAATGATAATAGCAAATAACAAAAATTGAAATAATTACAAATACAAAAATGAAATGACAAGAGAATTTAGAATATTATATTATTTTCCTTATGTTGTTATCTGGTGAGCATGGCTTCCAATTCTCACACGTATCTCATTTGTTTAAAAGATAACCCTTAAACTGGGCATTGCAAAACCATTGAACTACCTTCAATGTTGTGAAACTTTTCCTGTTAACTATAACTTGAAGGGCTGAGAAAGCCTTTAACCATAGAAGTTCTCAGTTCCCAAAGTACTGTAAAGTTTAACAGCAGGATTATTTTTCATAATGGAATTTTCAGGAGGATGGTATTCTCCTGTGGGTTTTTTAATTTGAGAATTATATGAGAGTATACTTATGTATGTATACTCATACATCTTGCTTAACTTAACTGTCTCCAAATTAAAAATGGACCAGAAGTTCTTACCCTAATCACTGCTGTTATCAGAGGGCCTTTGTAACCACCAAGTTAAAAATAACACATCCTGCAGTTCCCAATCAGATCAAAATTGTACACCCATGCTTTGTTTCATGCATGGCAGATTGTCTCATGAGAGGATGGTCTAGAAATCTCTAAAATAAGTAATCCTACTAAATAATCAAGTGTATTTTTATTTCTTTAGGTTCTAAATTATCCTTCAGATCTCAAGCAGTTTTCTTCATGTTTTAAAAATGTCCTTTATTTGATTTAACCAAAGAAAAAGACACAGCATGCATATTGATATTGATATTGTGTATGTGTATTTACGCAAAGGTTAGATTAAAGAATTATTGTTCAATCAATCAGAATAGAGCTGGAAGGCAC